CTGAGCACAGATGAGAGAACCTGTCAATGTCAGTCACAGAGGCTCAAACACTTTATCCCCTGCATCTTTTGGAACAAGAAATGTCTTGCATTCAGAGGTTTTGTAATGTCTTGGCCCACTGGGTCCTCTGATGCCTGCTCAAGATGTCTCTCTGAGAAAAGTTTTCCCCACACTCAACACACCGGAAGTTTCTCCCCTGTGTGGATCCTCTGATGATCCTTCAGGTGTTCTCTCCAGCTGAAGCTCTTCCCACAGTCAGGACATTCATACAGTTTCTCTCCCGTGTGAATCCTCTGGTGGCGCTTCAGATCACCGCACTGATTGAAGCACTTCCCGCCCTGAGAACATTTGTACGGTTTTTCTCCGGTGTGAATTCTCTGGTGTCTTTTCAACACTTCTCTAAAAGTAAACATTTTCCCACACTAAGAGCATTAATGGAGTTTCACTCCCGTATGAAGCTGCTGATGGTTCATCAAATGTTCTCTCCATCAGAAACATTTCCGACAGTAAGAACATTCATATGGTCTCTCTCCGGTATGAATCCGCTGGTGTAACGGTTCTTTCTGACTGAAGCATTTCCCACACTGAGAGCATTCAAAGGGTTTATCTGAAATATGAATCACTTGGTGTCTCTTCAGATCTCCTCTCTGACTGAAACATTTCCCACACTGAGGGCATTTCCCACACTGAGGCTAGAATATTTTCCTAGATCAAGCAAAAATTGAGCAGCAAAAAGTCTAGATTTAGCTCAGTTAGCCTTCATAGTCTGTTCTTAGCATATTACGCAAAGAGTCATTTTAAAAATTTTTTAAAAAATGACAGAAGCATTGTGCCCCCTTAAAGGTGAAGTGCTCTGTTTGAATGTGAGCTTTCGTGGGTCAAGTTCACCTCCTGAGACCTAAGAGTTGGACGACATGGCAGATATTTATACAGGGGCCCAAAATAAAGAGACTGTTTTTTTGACACCAGTTGGTGACGGTATGGCACTGACTTTTCATGAGCTTGATGGATTTCCACTCTATTCTAATATGAATAATGTCAGAATATTAATATTCTGTAAATCCAAATAGTAATCATTCGAATGGACAGCAACTCTTTACAGGGTTTTTTTAGGTAGAGAATATTCAGAAGTGGTTTCCCATTCCCTTTTACTGGGGGTATTTCTGGGACTGCAAAACTTGCCCAGGGCTGGCTCTTTTCCCGAGAGGTGCAGTGGGAATTGAACTTCGGGCCTCTGACTCCACAGCCAGAAACCTAAGCTACTGAGCTATCCAGCCACTGTTTGACAAGTCTAGAGAATCAGCTTACAGTCTCTGATCAGAGTGAACTGTCTAGGGAGTCAGTCCATCTCGTATCTGGCCTTCTTCTTTTCCTGCTGCCTCCCATGCTTCCCAACATGATTGTCTTTTCTGGAGAAATCTGCCTTCTTGTGATGGGCCCCAAATAGGACCGCCTCAGATTCAAAAGTTAAAACAGGTAATTTGAAACAGTTTTATGGAGATATCTTTGATTAGCCCCAACTGTCCTTAATGATACACTTGTTTTGAGGTGATCTATATATCGCACCTTACTTTCTCAATCTATTTTTAAAAAGGATGGCAAAAAAAGGGTATGAGGAGCAACAGTACTGGTGAGAAACGCTTTGCCATTTTTTTTTCGTCCACACAAACCCTGAAGTTTTTTTTAAAGGGTTTTCCACTTTAAACACCTTTTGCTTTTTAAATTACCAGAAAAAATCACAACTTTTAATAGCTAAAACAATCATTGTTATGGCCTACTTGGTGCTTGCATTAACAGGGCAGTATATTAGTAAATAAATAAATAAGTAAAAAAAAAAACCTATATAGCAGCGCACCAGGCAAATATGGAATAACTCTACAGTATTATCGTGAGTTGGAAACTAAAACGAGTAAAATACTGAAGACCATAGTGCCACACACCCCAAACTTAATTTTCTTGCAGGAGACTCATGAACTCTGGCATGAATATTATCACACAGAAACTCTGGGGAATAAATCTGGGCTGTAGGTCTTCCTAGACAAGGAGCATGACAAAAATTATGTCCAAAAATTATTGAATTAAACTAAAACCTGTAATAAGGGATTCTGAGAGGGGATTTGTGTTTGTAAAAGGAAGGAGATAAACACATACCGCTATATCACAAATATGTCCACATTACAATCAACTGGAATTTGTGACAATGATAATAAAAAAGCTAACTCCTTTTGCTGTGGGAGGTATTTATTATATGGGGTGATAATGTACTATGAGCTTGATTACTGTTGCCATCCAGCAGAAGACACTAGCTAGAACAGAGGAGGCTTCGCATTTAATATATGGAGAATAAGAGAGGCTGACTCAGAACCACAGAGATCTGTTTTCCTTGCGCTTCCTTAGTATGCAGGTACTTCCCTCCCACCCTCCATTTCTTCTCCTCTCTGTCTGATCTGGCCAGGAAAAGTTCTTTGAAGTTCGAAAATTGTGACTTCCCTTTTGAACATTAGCTTGTGGCAAGATTAACATGTCACAGGGAAAGCTGATTGTAGGGAAAACAGATTTGTCCTAGTATTACCTATTGGATTTAATCGGATGGCTAGCTTACAAATGGCTGGCTGTCTAAGCAAACACAGACCGCGTGCCTCTTAGTACCCTGCGGAATAGACAGCCTATGAACCAGAAATCTTTCACAAGGTGGTTAAACCCTAGTTTACCCTCCAGGCAGTCATTCCTAGAAACACAAAGGGAAAAACCTCAACCTAGACAGAAAGTACTCAACCAGATCTCTCCAAAGCCCTTGTATGGTATGCATTTAAAATGTTGCCTTTTCACAGAAGTTCACTTTTTGCTTGTTATTGCTGGAGATGTTCTGGAGTAAAAGACACATTTCTGGGTTTGTGGCATAATTGGGCTACAATCACAGATTTTTGGAAGCAAATTAGCAAGTACTGCAGGAACACCCACCATCTGAGGGATCCGTATTGGCTGATTCACTTATCCACTGCCTGAAAATGCTGGGTTTTTTAACCCCAGAAATAGCTTTTTATATGTATTTCCAGGGAGTATTTACTGCTAGAGGGAACCAGAGACCATGCAATGTACGTATAGCATTCAAGGCTTCCATGTTTTTCGGTATGGGGAGGGGGACACTTGGAACCATTTCCCCATGGATACCACAGTCTTACTGCAGCCAAAAATTAAGCAACTTAATCTTTTGGACCTTGACAATGACGAATTATCAGAAGAAGAAAAAAATGGCCCTGAAAAACTCTTCCGCAAAGACCTCTCTTGGTTGCTATCGGCAACCAGACTGGTCGTTGCCTATACTGTAACTGGAAATGGATGCAAAAGCTCATGATAAATTCTTGACAAAAGTGAATCAGGGCTGGGGCTGGGAGGTGCCAGCACAGCTGGGAAAGATGATCTCATAGAAGAGGGAGGCATAAAGAGAAAGAAAAATCAACACATTCACGGTAGTTTGTTAAACTTTTATCATCCATTTTGATAAGAATTTTATTGTCAATTTTGATCGATCCACCACAACATAAGCTGAAAGTCCTGAAATATTTATTATGACACTTTTCGGCTCAAGGAAAACCAAGAAATAATACATATGGCAAAAATGGAAGATTAATTAGTCTTTTGCATTTGATGAAAGTCCGCTCAGTTTTTTCTCTACATCCCCTGAATCCACCTTTTGTCCCACGCCTGCTCTAGAGGTTAATCTCATAACTTCTGCGTAATTTGGAAATAAATTTTAAAAAGTTAGGAAAAAGAAAAAAATAATAGCCAAAAATTAGAATATCAAACCTCACATTTCTGTCATGTTGGAACATGGTTGTCGATTGGGAAGAGCTAAATATTTGAAGACTAGATTTTGAACTCATCATCATCATCTGATTCGTCACCCACCTTCATAACTGGGTGGTGAAATACAACTGTAATCATGCCAATCAGCCAAGCCACCGCTGTTCCTCCAATAAAGATGCAGAAGGTAATTAAACCAAGGAGAAGTAAATCCGTTATTGCAACATGCAGAAGGCAATCATGATGAATCTCATCTTCTGCACTAAAGACTGGCCAGCCTTCAACTTTTGGTGGTGTTTTGCAGGTGATTTGCTCTTGATCTGCAGGGAAGAAATATGTAGAAATCAGTCACAAGTGGGGTTGCCAGACATCCGGCAAAAGGAGGACATGTCCTCCTTTTTAACCTAATGTCTTGCATCCGGCAGGCAAAGATAAAAACCTTTAAAATGTCTGGCTTTTGAATATGTTATAATTTTGGATGGGAGGGGGAGAGGTGGAAGGGCCCCTCTCTCCCCCCATTATCTGCCGCTGGCACCGGAGCACAGCCCTTGCCCCCTCCCGTCATGGCAGTGGCTGCTTGGCGATCTGCCATGCCCAACCAGCCCATGTGGAGCCCAGAAAGGCAGTGCGAGCAGAGCGCCACCTGCCAAGCCAGGCAGGAGCAAGCAGTGTCCGAGCGCATCGATGGGAAGGCGAGCGCCCAGACTGTATGTGTTCAAAGTCCCTTTTGGGGACTCCCACACTCCCCAGCCCTGAACCTATGACCCTCAGAGGAGGAGAGGCTGCCTCGTTCAGCTTTGCCTGGAGCTGCTTTCCCCTTGCCTGTGCCGGAGCCTTGTTTGGGTGTCCAGATTAGCAAGGTGGCCTCTGAGACCTTGCAGAGTGCGAGCAGCTGGGGGATCCTGCAGCCGGGCCAGGGTGAGTTCAGGTTTATTTGCTTTGGTCCCATTCAGAGGCTGCTGTTTCTTCATAGATCCCCTTCCTGTTTGTTAAATGAAACATTCAATACGTCCTCCTCTGTCCTCTTTTTGTCTTTCTATGTCCTCCTTTTGGTACCCATGTATCTGGCAACCCTAGTCACAGGCCATGTTTAAAACATTGCTGGTTCTCAGGAAAAGGATTTTCAGATTTTTCTGAATTACGAGTACCTAAGTAACAAATATCTACCCACAGACATCTTACAAACACTTGAATGTGAACACCTAGGGGAAATCTGGAAAGCTTTTCAGCTTAGGTTGGCCTTCTCGGCCTAGCTTCATACTCAGAAAGACAGCTCCCAGCAAGCACCGGGGCAGAAACAGGAAGCTTGGGTGGATCTAGACCGAGCTAGGCCTCAAGAGATTTGATCTTTTAAAAAGCTGTATTATCTGCCATTCGCTGGTCTGCCAATGCATTAAAGACGATTGAAGCTGACAGTTGCCTTTTAGTACAAACAAAGGGATAAAAAAAAGGCCAAGGAATATTGCCAAGGAAGAAACCCTATAAAACATCGGTGTAATGTATCCTTAGGTATGGGATGAATTTATAACAGAAAGATTTGGATGTCCCGGACAACCCAGATAGTGTGGTTGCTGACCTAGAGACAGACATCCTGGAGAGTGAAGTCAAGTGGCCTTAGAAAGCATGGCTAACAACAAGGCCAGTGGAGGTGATGGCATTCCAGTTGAACTATTTAAAGTCTTACAAGATGATGCTGTTAAGGTGCTACACTCAATATGGCAGCAAATTTGGAAAACTCAGCAGCATCCAGAGGATTGGAAAAGATCAGTCTACATCCCAATCCCAAAGAAGGGCAGTGCCAAAGAATGCTCCAACTACCGTACAATTGCACTCATTTTACATGCTAGCAAGGTTATGCTCAAAATCCTCCAAGGTAGGCTTCAGCAGTATGTGGACCAAGAACTCCCAGAAGTACAAGCTGGATTTCGAAGGGGCAGAGGAACTAGAGACCAAATTGCTAACACGCGCTGGATTATGGAGAAAGCCAGAGAGTTCCAGAAAAATACCTACTGTACTTCTACTTCATTGACTACACAAAAGTCTTTGACTGTGTGGACCACAGCAAACTATGGCAAGTTCTTAAAGAAAGGCGAGTGCCTGACCACCTTATCTGTCTCCTGAGAAATCTATATGTGGGACAAGAAACAGTTAGAACTGGATATGGAACAACTGATTGGTTCAAAATTGGGAAAGGAGTATGACAAGGCTGTATATTGTCTCCCTGCTTATTTAACATTTATTATATGCACAATACATAATGCGAAAGGCTGGACTGCAGCAACCCCAAACCTGAATTAAGATTGCTGGAAGAAATATCAACAACCTTCGAAATGCAGATGATACCACTCAGATGGCAGAAAATGAGGAGGAATTAAAGAACCTCAATGAGGATGAAAGAAGAGAGTGCAAAAAACGGTCTGAAACGCAACATCAAAAAAACTAAGATCATGGCCACTGGTCCCATCACCTCCTGGCAAACAGAAGGGGAAGATATGGAGGCAGTGACAGATTTTACTTTCCTGGGCTCCATGATCACTGCAGATTGTGACAGCAGCCACAAAATTAAAAGATGCCTGCTTCTTGGGAGGAAAGCGATGACAAATCTCGACAGTATCTTAAAAAGCAGAGAAAGCTCCTTGCCGACAAAGGTACGCATAGTCAAAGCTATGGTTTTTCCGGTACTGAAGTATGGAAGTGAGAGCTGGACCATAAAGAAGGCTGACCGCCAAAGAATTGATGAATTGTGGTGCTGGAGGAGACTCCTGAGAGCCCCCTGGACTACAAGGAGAACAAACCTATCAATTCTGAAGGAAATCAACCCTGAGTGCTCACTGGACGGACAGATCCTGAAGCTGAGGCTCCAATACTTTTGCCATCTCATGAGAAGAGAAGACTCCCTGGAAAAGACGCTGATGTCGGGAAAGACTGAAGGCAAGAGGAGAAGGGGAGGACAGAGGATGAGATGGTTGGACAGTGTCACTGAAGCTACCAACATGAATTTGACCCAACTCCAGGAGGCAGTGGAAGACAGGAGGGCCTGGTGTGCTCTGGTCCATGGGGTCACAAAGAGTCGGACACGACTGAATGACTAAGCAACAATGTGGGATGGATGCCAAGGATTGATCAGTGGCTGGAATCCTGTTGTACAGTTCCCCATGGGCAACAAGAGATTATGATATAATTATTGTTAAATGGCCCTGGATTAAAGGCAAATCGCAGCTAAAAATGATTTTGGGGTGCATGCAAAATGAGGTCACCTGCTCACTGAAATAGCTAGATGAAACCTTTATTAAGAGGCTTTATTAAGAGCCTAGATGAAGCCTTCATTAAGAGCCTTGATCCTCTACCACTGTTATCTCTGCTCTGCATGCGGAGTTGTGCAACAGGATAGTACCCAACGTGTATGAACTGAAGAGACAACCCACATAGAACTATGAAGAGAAGAAGTATTAATTAGGTATTAGATATTTTAAATTCATGGACTGCAGCCCCCCCCCCCGAAGTCTACAGGAATTCCCCCAGTGCACAGACTTCTGGGGGGTTTTAATGAAGAAAACAAAGCCCTGACAGGCAATTTCAACTTTTTGCGCTAATTAATGCAGATTCTGGCTGCCATTTTCATTCTGTGCAGAAGGGAAAAGAAATGATCATGGCTACTGTGGGAGCTGCAAAGGATCATGGGTGTGGTGCTCACTGCTGATTAGGCTCTGTGCCGGAAACCTATTTTAAACAACCTGTATTTAAAAGGTTAAATCCCATAATCCCTTGCTGTTCCCACAGAGCCTATCTCTGTCTACCCATTTTCCCTGTCTTCTCCACGGGACAAACAAAAGGGCTGCCAGAATCTGAATGTACCAGCTGCAAGAACATGAAAACACCTGTCAGGGCCAGAGATGGGCATGAACCCGCTGGTTCAGCAGTTCGTGCCAGCTTGTTTACCAGCCAAACGGGAGTTTGGCACTTCCAGGCCCCGCCTCCTTCAGCAGACACCCAATCAGAGGTAACACTCTGGCTTCCCTGCCCCGCCTCCTCTGAGTACCGCTTTCTGGAAGAGGCAGGGCTTGGAAGCACCAAACATTTATTCAGTCAGTAAACGAACCAGCATGAAACACTGAAATGGCGGATCCTGTCCATCTCTAGTCATTACTAACTACTTTGATTAACACACCCCCTCTGTCCCCCCGGACAGGCCTGGGGAATTCCTGCAAACGTTTGGATGGCTGTCGTCCACAAACTTCAAAAATCCCGTGCCTAGCATTCCTCACACAGAATGGGCTTCACCTATTAATTCAATCCGAGGCTTCGCGTGGCCATGCCCACGTATGGTCTGCCGTAGCCAATTGGAGAATTCCAGAAAGGTGCAGTTACAATCCCAGGGGTTCCCCTTGATTCCCAAAGTATGAAGGTCGTTGAGGTGGTCAAACGTGTTCACCGTCAGGGTGTCTAAGCCGCAGAAGCTGGCGTCTAGGTATCTCAGGATTGGGACCGGGACAAAGGCATCCTCGTGGATCTTCTTTATCATTGGGTTCGAGGAGATGTTGAGCAACACCAGCCTGGGGAGCTGGGAGAAAGTTCGGGATAAGATGTCCGTCAGCCGGTTGTGACTGAGATCCAAGTAGGCCAACTTCTCAGAGGCTGGAAAGCTCGTGTCTCCGTCGAGTTCAATCAGGTTGTGACTGCAGTCCAGATAGACCAGTTCATGGAGATAAGTGATTTCCAAAGGTGGTATCGATTTGAAGTAATTGTTGGTCAGAATCAGCTCCCTGGTTGTCAGAGGAAATGAATCAGGGACATGGTCTAACCCTTTGCCTTGACAGTTCACTTTCAGGTTCAGGCAGGAGCACTCCAGAGGACAGCTCCAACCCATATGGTTCCAGTTTACACCGATTAGAAAGACCAACCCCAACGCTAAAGTAGAGTAAGATGATGGCAACAGCAGAGGCCCCATTCCCAAACACCTGTCTTCTTTGACTGGAGATGAAGGAGGACAGTAGGCCCCATTCCCAAACACCTGTCTTCTTTAAGACCTGGAGCTGAAGGAGGACAGCCTGCTTTTAAACCTCACAAGTGAAGAAGGACCTGTTTCTTGTTGATCAGACCCATGTCATCTCAGTGGTTGGCCTGTGAGCTTTATGACATCACCAGTGGAGGACCCAATTGACAGAACTCTGCTCCATTCATTTTTCTTAATTATTTTTTACCATCCTCCACATTAACAATGTTCCTCTACCATCCTGTAATTCAAAAAGAGACAGGAACCAATCCTGAGAGAGAGAGAGAAGACTAATAGAAAGCTTGTCTCGCTGACCCCCATTAACCACCACCTATCATGGAAGAGTTTGAATTGTGGTGCTGGAGGAGGCTCTTGAGAGTCCCCTGGACTACAAGGAGAACAAACCTATCCATTTTGAAGGAAATCAACCCTGAGTACTCACTGGAAGGACAGATCCTGCAGCTCAGACTCCAATCCTTAGGCCATCTCATGAGAAGAGAAGACTCCCTGAAAAAAGACCCTGATGTTAGGAACGTGTGAGGGCAAGAGGAGAAGGGGACGACAGAGGATGAGATGGTTGGACAGTGTCTGCGAAGCGACCAACATGAATTTAACCCAACTCCGGAAGGCAGTGGAAGACAGGAGAGCCTGGCGTGCTCTGGTCCATGGGGTCACGAAGAGTCGGACACGACTTAACAACTAAACAACAACAGTCATGGAAGGGATGTGGCTTGCAGCTTATCTCATGGGAAGGAGACCTTTAAGGCCAAGCCAATGGATTCCGATAACCACTAATGGGAAACATGATTTCAGGTGTGAAAAGAGGGGGGGCGGGAGCATAAAGTACTCTGGTCTTCTCCAACATTCAAGAGAACTTGAAGCCTGACTGGCTGACCCTCTGGAAGGGTCTCGATCAGGACACGTAATGTGTACAACAGGGGTTCAGAAGTTACTTTAGTTAGTTTAGCTTAACCCTGAAGAGATGCTATGTTCAGCTGCTGTTCCTCCGTGCCTTGTCATGGAGATGCACTCTTTGCATGCCTCCGGGCCATGCTGACTTCTATGCTTCTCTGTGAGTATTGGATAGAATAGTTTAGCTTTTATGTTTGTTTTCTAGTGCATTGTGTTGGTTGCCTTAGCTTTTTCTGACGTCTTTCCTCTTTATGTACTTTTAAAAACCTTTTACATAATTTAATCTATTTACTTTCTCCAATAAAATATAAAAAAATTTCCCCAACGAATTGTTTGGGTTTTTAGCTCAGAGGGTTTGTGGTGGTCTTGCCCTTGACCCTCTAATGGGAGTTTTGGTTCTTTGGTGGGCGTGGTGGCGGTTCTACCATGCAAGGTGTGTTTGAAAACTCAGCTGCCACTTACTATTCTCGATCAAGTCACAGTTTAAAATGCCCAATAGCTGACCACCCAATCTCTGTTCAAAAGCCTCTGGGGGGGAGGGGATCCACCATTTTCCAGCCCGGTCTGTTCTTCAGCTATTAGCTGAAGTTTCCTTTCTTGTAATTTGATTCCATCTGTTTGGTTTTTACCTCCAAAGTAGAAGAGGTCAAGCTTGCTCTATCATCCATGTGACAGCTCCTCCTGAAACAGGCTTAAATAATTGAGTTGGAAGGGGCTTATAAGGCCATCTTGTCTGGTCCCCTGCTCAATACAGGAATGGGCACATCAAGTTACCATCGTAGTTCCCCTCTGTTTGGCACTGGTCAGGCCTAATCTGGAGTCCAGGGTCCAGAACTGGGCACAGGGTTCCCTTGGTCTGGGCACTCTATTGATTTTGACTAGCCCAGATGTGGTGGCCAGACAACAACTACAACAGAATTTTCCCTGCCCGGATGCAACCACTACATTTTTCTCCCCAAGAAATTCTACTTTTCTTTGCCTAGGTCTCTTAACTCGTCAAAGCCAGCCTGATTTATCTCCTTAGAACCACATCGCTGGAAGGGACCCTACAGATCGCTGAGCCCAGATTCTGTCACAGAGGCCCGGTGGAGAATTGAACTCCCAACCGATGGCTCCACGGCCAGATGCCTAACCCCACTGACTGAGCTTCTCCTGAAATATTGCCTCCCCCTTTTCACTAGGGCAGCCGATCCCAACCTAGGGCCCCCAGATGTTCTTGGATGATAACCCGCGGATCAGCCCCCCCGCTCCATTCAGAGGCGGCTCCCCCCTACCCATTAACCCCCCATTAAGGCTAGCAGAAAGGGGGGGTCCGTACCCCTGCAGCGATGCCAGTTACACCTTCTCCTTTCCCTGATCTGAACGTGCTTCCAGAAAAAAGCCTGCCAGCCAAGGGTCACACTGGCCTCCTCGTCGCTTCCGGTATGATTTGGGAAAGGAGGTGGTGGTGAGGTGGGGAGTCCAGTTCAACTTTGTGGTGTGGAAAGGAGCACTCCGTGGCTGCCGAGGTGGCGGCCTGGTCCACACTGGCTTGGGAGGAAACCCCACTGAAAATGAATGGGATGCCCTGCTGAGGAGGCGTGCATAGGCATGCAAAACAGCTCACTGCCTGGGTGGTTCTCCCAACCCCCTTGTAAATACAGTGGGGTCTCTACTTAAGAACTTAATCCGTATTGGAAGGTGGTTCTCAAGTTGAAAAGTTCTTATGTTGAATCTGCATTTCCCATAGGAATGCATTGAAAACCATTTAATCCGTATCTGCTCTTTTCCGTCCATAGAAACTACAGTAGAACCTCTACTTAAGAACTTAATCCATTTTGGAATGGTGTTCTTAAGTTGAAACGTTCTTAAGTTGAAGCAAAATTTCCCATAGGAATGGACTGAAAACCAATTAATCCGTTCTGGCTGTTTTTTTGTTATGTAGAGGTGCGTTCGTACATTGAAGCATTAGTTCCCATAGGAACTAATGCAAAGCTGGCTAATACGTACTCTACCACTAGGGAGAGAACTTTTTTTAACCTAAGATGACCTAAGGTTAAAAAAAGAGCAGGAAAGTTTATTTTTTCCTGTTCTTATCTTGGAAGTCTGTTCTCAAGTAGAAGCAAAATTTAGCAAATGGAGTTGTTCTTAAGTTGGATTGTTCTTAAGTAGGGACGTTCTTAAGTAGAGACCCCACTGTATGGGGGGGGTAATCGCAAGGTGGTCCTAAGCACCCCCAGTAGTTTGGGTTACCAGCCAATTTCGGGTCTCGCTTTTCCACCAAGGAATCAGGCACAGAGGCAACAGCTGAACCAAATTTTATTTGAACAGCAGGAAAGAAAAGAGCAGCTGGGATTCCTCTTAAAAGCAGAAAAAGACCCCCAGAATAAAGACTACATGTTTTATAATGACACAAATAAAGAGCAATAAAAGTACTACAATTCTGTTGGTCGCTTGCACCCCAACATTGGATCCGGTCCCTCACTGGGTAGTGATGCCAACTAGGCTGATCTATTGGTTCCCTAGAGATATGCATATTGTGTGCCCATGTGTCCTTGGCCTATGCCCACCTATTGTGTGCCCATGTGTCCTTGGCCTATGGCCACCATGCGCCTGAAAGGCTGGGGACAAGAGTATCTATTTCCCTTATCTATTGGTATGTTTGTGTGTATCCTTCCTGCGCCCCCCCCATGTATGGCCTTCACTCTCCGGCCCCCTGGTGTGAATGTCATGGCCTGACCCATGGCGGCTACCTCAGCCATGGCTGGACTCCCTAGAGTCCGGCCATGGCTGGGGTAGCTGCTGCGGCTCGGATCCAAGCTGCGGGGGGAGGGTGGTGGGATTGGGATGCCTTTCAGGCATCCCGGGCTTGGATCCCACCAACCGCCGGTTACCCTTTAAGCGGCGGGGACAGGCTGGGGGGGTGGATCGGGAAGCTTGAAGCCTCCCAGCGCTGCTTACCCAGGTCGTTCCCGGACTTCCAGAAGTCCGGGAACGACCTGGGTAGGCGGCGCGGAGAGGCTTCAAGCTCCCCGATCCACCCCCCAGCCTGTCTCCGCCGCTTAAAGGGTAACCGCAGCGGCTACCCCAGCCATGGCCGGACTCTAGGGAGTCCAGCCATGGCTGAGGTAGCCGCCATGGGTCAGATCCAAGCCGTGGGGGGGGAGGGAAAAAAAAGGATAATCCGTTCCAATTGGAACGGATTAACCAGTTTTCAGTGCATTCCTATGGGAAATGGTGCTTCACATAACGATGTTTTCACATAACGTTTTTTTTTCTGGAACCAATTAACATCGTTATGCGAGGCACCACTGTACCTTGCCAACAAAAGTCAACCCTGAGTCCTCACTGGAAGGACAGATCCTGAAGCTGAGGCTCCAGTACTTTGGCCATCTCATGAGAAGAGAAGACTCCCTGGAAAAGACCCTGATGTTGGGAAAGTGTGAAGGCAAGAAGAGAAGGGGACGACCGAGGATGAGATGGCTGGACAGTGTCTGTGAAGCAACCAACATGAATTTGACACAACTACGGGAGGCAGTGGAAGACAGGAGGGCCTGGCGTGCTCTGGTCCATGGGGTCACAAAGAGTCGGACACGACTAAACTATGACCACGATGTTGTGAATGTTCCTGGGCTTCTTTTCTCTGAGGCCTGTGTTTTTTCTGCTAAGAGTTATACTAAAATCTAGTTTGATTCTGCTCCAGTATCAGTTTTAAGACCTTCTCTCTATCAGAATCTCAGCATCTCCCATTCATTCTATAATTCTCCCATTCATTCTGTAATCCGTAAATCTATTGCAGCAAAATCAGTGAAGAGCCTTATGTTACCCTAAGGATGAACACGTTTGATTTGGCTGAAGGTTACGCTACCTGCAGTTCATTACCTCTAGTGTGCTTGTCCTGAAATGAGAACCAGAGATTTCCATTGTATAGCATTTATCACTGACTTTTCCTTGTTCTCATTGAAAGCACAGAACGAGGTATACAAGTACACTTTTCATGTGGAGATATATGAGAAAGTATTTTTGAGGTGACTCGTCTGAATTGAATGCTCATCCTTTTGCAATATTTATGCTCCC